TGCCACAATGTCTTTATCCATTATCTGTCAGTGGGCACTGGGGTCATTTCCATGTCTTGACTCTTGTGAGTAACGCTGCAGTGAACATGAGAACGTATATCACTCTTCAAGGTACTGACTTCATTTCCTTTGGGAATATATCCAGGAGACATGTTGCTAGATAATATGGTTGTCCCATTTTTAATTTTTTGAGGAACCTCCATACTGTTTCCCCCCAATATGTTGAGGTGAATTTTGGAAATAAAATTACACAAAAGGGTAAAGAGGTAGCAACTGATTATTGCATGGGAATCCTTTTAAGCAAGCACCCATTTGCAGAGGGACACAGATACATGGCCAAGGGCAGACAATCAAGAGGACCATATATGTAACATGATTACGCCATTAAACCCACAGGGCCTCTTAGCAGGAGCTCTCAAGCTATTACAGGATTTCGGTTTCCAAGAAAAATTGTGCACTGCCGAATCAGCCATGGTTGGGCATCGCCAATTTTCACATTCGTTTATGCTAAAAGCCTTCTCCTTCATGGAAAATCATCTCCCCGATGAGCTGTGTCCACGCCCAACAGGGGCATTTTAGGTCAACCAAACCACATTGCATTCTCTCTACAAAGACAGTCCAGGTTGCTCCCAACACCGGGCCTTGCACACTGAGTTCTTCTGGAATGATGCAGAGCATACTGCCTCCTGCAGGGGAAGGTAAAGGAGACAGGAGTCAGGGTAGGTGGGATCTTCGAGGACTCTCTGGGCTGGGGGCGTGGGGGGCTGTCCTACATCTTAGATCCTTATCTCTGTTTCAAAGCCCAACCAGGGGGCTCAACAGCCAACGGTGCAGCCTCTTCTTCCAGAGCACATTTGTTCATCCAAGCATTTACTCGGCATCTGCTATGAGTGGACTCGGGGCTGGCCACTGGGAATCCAAAGACAAGAGTGAGACCTAAGACATGGTCCTACCTTCAGGACAGGTCAGGGCAGTGTGCAGTGTAGGAGGTGTCACTGGGGGTGTTGCCCACTGTCACTGGGGCACAGAGCAGAGCACCTACCCCACCTGGCAGAAAGGGGCTAGGTCTTCCTAGTAATAGCTCCACTGGTCTTCAAGGGTGTACCAGAGGCAAGTGAAGGGGGAGGGTAGCCCAGTTAAAGTACATGCCTTTACCTTGGTCCAGAAATAAAAAGTTCCCAGTGGGGAGCCAACTCTGAACACCTTAGCACACAAGACCCAGAGCATAGGAAAGGGGGTTGGAAAGGTAGGGTCCAATCACTGGGTTCTACTTGCAGATGAAGGGGCAGGTGGGCAAACTAAATGACCTACAGAGAGGATTCAAAGTCAAGGCTGCAGCATACGGTTCAATTCTCAGTTCTCTTCCCTTGAGTGAAAAAGCAAAATATTTAAGAACACAAAGCTGGAATCAGATGGATAGGCCTCGAGTCCTGACTTTGCTGCATATTAGTTTCTTTGCCTTTAAAATGACAATTGTGCAGGGGACTGTGACCCCAGGCTTCTTAGCGACTGAGACGTAAACACCCCTAGATCCAAGGTGACGAAGGGAGATGGGGAACAGTTTCCAGAATCCGAGGCGGAGTGCCTGGTAGAGTCTGCTCCCTGAGAGGGAGCAGTGGCCCTCAGTCAGCAGGTGTAGCCAGCCTGAGTGTTGGATGAGAGCAACCAGGCCAACACATATCCCATCCCTGACCCCCCCCC